ACATAAGCACACTCAGAGCACTGTAAAATAAAATAGCACCTCCTCTAATACTCTATGAAATACTAAGTGAAAAATGGTATCAGTTTTTCCCCAGCACCTCACTCATTTAAATGACCCCTCTCCCAGCAAGCACAAAAGGCACAGTGGCCTTCACTGCTGCCTTATACAGCCCTCACCTGGTTCAGGTAGGCTCAGGTGGGCTCCAAGTCATTTGCTGCTCCTCCATATAAAGAGGTTTTCAAGCACCACTCCTGCTTCAGGAAAAGAAGAGCTGGGGGGGGAAAGAGGAGGAAGGTTTATGCTGATTTTCAGTTTCCTGGGAAAAGAGGGGCTCTGTTAGATGTCAAACATTTATTTTTGTGTTTGGGCTCAGAGAAGTAGTGTCTTTAGGTGAAGTCTGCAGTGCAAGGATTTGGTTTTTTTCCTCTCCTGTGTTACACCTGCAGGGGTAAGAACAGAGAGAAATGAGTAAGGCCAAGTTGTAGAACAAATCTGCAGCTAAGGAAGGACCCTGCAGAAATCCTACAGCCAGGATGCCCTGCTTCATGTTGTGCAGTCATGCAGGGTAGGGAATGAGCACATTTGGAAAACATAAAATAGAGTTAAGCAGAGGATTCAATGGGGTAGATAAAGTTCCAGTAATTACTGAGCTGGGCTGCAGGATTTCTTATGTGTGGGTTTGTGATACTGGAAATTGCAGCTGGAGCAGATTTAGAGGGCTATGAAAACCAGCCTGGCTCAGCTTCTCCAGAAGGGGATTTTTAGTGGGAACTATTTAATGTGGTTTATTCAGGCTTTCCTCAAGAAAGAAAAGAAGCTGAAATTTCAATCTCCAGGCAGAGCAGGTTAAAGGGACACAGTGCAGCTCTGGGGTACGTTCCTCTGCTCCAAGTCAGAGTTGCCCTTCTCACTCCTGGCAGATCCAGGGATGCTATTGAAGGCTCCCTGGGATGGGGAGCTTGTCTTTCTCGTTGCAGCTGCTTGTGGAGTCTGATTCTCCTGGTCAAAGTGGTTTTTTTCCTGACATTGAACATAAATCTTGCCCTACCCCAGTGGACACGGGCAGATAATTTGTTTGGTCTCTGCCATTCCTCTCCTCTTTGGGACAAGGACAGATGCTGTCTCAACACACTGTGAGCTCCTTGGGAGCTGCTCTTCTGGGGCTTGGATGCCAAAGAACTAAAGGAGAGGATGTTAGGTGAGTTCACCTCCTGTTGCTAAAGTCTGGGCTACTAAGTGTGAATTTTATACAGATCTGCAGTCAGGAAACAAAAGGTGTGTTGTCTTAACACCTGTTTTCATCTTCCTGTGCCAACCAAAAGATTTTGTTGGGGGTAGGTGCTTCTCACTTGATGTTTTCCATAATCTTTCTGCTGTAAAAAGCTCCAGTTCTCCATTTTCAGCTCTTTCTGGCCCAGCCCCAAGGACAGGTAAAGTCCTTTTGGCAAATGGGTTTATTGGGGCCTTATACCATGGAGGCTTCATCTCCCACCAGGATCCTGTGCTGAGAGGGACCTCCAGGAGATCTGATAGACCTTGAGAAAATGCACCAGGGATTTATGGCAGTGGAGGCAGTTCTGTCATTTCTGTGTAAAATTGTCATTGAAGGATTTGGAAGAAAGATTCTGACAGATCCCTGATGAGTTATTTCCAAGCATGAAACACAAAGTGCCAATTTAGGGAAATAATTGGAAAAACAAATACCAATTAAGGTGGTGGGTTTTTTTTTCCCTTTAAATTTAGATTTCAGCATTTAAACCTCCCACTTTCTTCTCTCCAAAAGAGAACTTAAAAAGCTTTTTTTTTTAAAAAAAATATTTAATTTCCAAGATACATATTGCTGGGGGGGGGGGGGGAAGGGATTTAAATGCTGTTCCTATATGAGAGACCCTGGCAAGCTGCCTGTGTGTTGATGAGCAGATCTCAAATATTTGTGTTTTGGCTCATTAAACTTCTCTAAACAAGGATGCTGGTCCCAGCCCTCAAAGTTGGAAAAAACTTACAGCTGCATTCAAAGGTGGCAGTGGGATTGTCTTTGTGCATTCAGCTTTTTTTACATTTTCCACTTTTTTTTCCCCAAGGAGATGGGCAGGTTGAGACTTCTAGATGGTTGGTTTTTCACTCTGTAAATGACAATTCTGAATAATGTATGCAACCCAATAACCTTTCATATTATTTGAAAGGTTATTCTACACCTGAAGCCAATGGGGCTTTAATGATTTACTTGCTTATGCCACTGGCATAAAAAATATTGCTGGGGGGGGGGAGGGAAGGGATTTAAATGCTGTTCCTATATGAGAGACCCTGGCAAGCTGCCTGTGTGTTGACGAGCAGATCTCAAATATTTGTGTTTTGGCTCATTAAACTTCTCTAAACAAGGATGCTGGTCCCAGCCCTCAAAGTTGGAAAAAACTTACAGCTGCATTCAAAGGTGGCAGTGGGATTGTCTTTGTGCATTCAGCTTTTTTTACATTTTCCACTTTTTTTTCCCCAAGGAGATGGGCAGGTTGAGACTTCTAGATGGTTGGTTTTTCACTCTGTAAATGACAATTCTGAATAATGTATGCAACCCAATAACCTTTCATATTATTTGAAAGGTTATTCTACACCTGAAGCCAATGGGGCTTTAATGATTTACTTGCTTATGCCACTGGCATATCAGTCATGAGCACTTTGAGTGTGTCCTATTGCTTCAATAACCAGCCTGTCTCTCCCTGTGTGTCCCAGTGGCATGGAGATCTGCATCTATGCTGCAATGGATGGATGGATCTTTGCTGGCTTCCTGGTAGAAAGGAACTTCTCCAGAATCAGTTCTGAGTGTGTTTTTTCCAGCTCTGGACGAAGCACTGTCAGTAACTCCAGCTGGGAATGACAGTTTTAAGAGGACTGGATCATTTTGATTTATTTTTTTCCTTTTTAAATTTTAATCCATGCAGGGAACTGCAGACTGGAATGAGCTGAAGCTGTGGTGAAACTGCTGGATGTGTCAGGAATGTCAGATAGCTCTGGAACACCATTATCCTCAGTGGATGAAGCCTCCTCCACCACAGGCATCTCCTGAGGTCCCTCTGCCAGCAGTGCCCTGCACCCTGAGCATGACTTCCTGCAGCTGCAACATCTGGGTCTGGCTGGGGAATGGGTTAGAAACAGGGACAAAGAAAGGGTGGAGAAAGGATTTTGGAGTGCTCAAATGTGGTATGTGGTGGGGAACAATGGTCTGTAAAAGCCTTCACTGAGGCCAGAGCAGAGGGGAGGTTTCTGCTGGTGTGGGTGTGCTCAGGGCTGGCACCTCCCATCAGGGCTCTGGGCAGCAAGGGATGTGCTGCAGATGGGCAATGAAGCCATGAGGGCTCTCACCAGCATCCTGATGGAAACAGAGGATGAGGAGGGTGGGAAGGAAATGCTGGGCAATGGGCCCCAAGCAGCTGAGATAGCTGAGAGCAGGGGAGGATCTGCATGAAATACCCGTGAGAGTGGTTTGTTTCTAAGTGTGTAAATTTCCCACTTATCCTCTTCAGGGTTGCAGGCTGTGATGGAAGCAGGAGCAGGGATGATGCTTCAAGGCTTGTGAACCCATTTTCATCATTCATTTACTTTGCTGAGAGGCCACTTAAAAGATCCTGTCTTTGCAAAGACTCTGAGCTCTCAAAGATTTGGTATTTGTTTTACACAAGGGTCATTAACTTCTGTGTCTCCCCATCCTGATACATGCTGATGGCTTTTACTGCCCAGCAGGGATGGGAGCTGGTGCCAGTCTAGTTTCTGGAGTACTTTGGTGTTAAAGTAACTCAAATTGCTACCTGAGACTGTCATATGTTCAGCCCAGTGCTTTTAGCCCCGTCCTATGAAAGAGAGCATGGAGAGAAGATAAACAAACTCAGGGTGCTTGGAGCAATATCTTTATTTCAGCTACTTTTCCAAACAGCTGTGGGTAAGTCCAGCAGTGAAGCTTTTTCCTGGCAAGAAGTTTTCCTGTACCCATCACACAAATGGCTCTGGATGCAAACAGGAGGCTGGGGAATGGGCAAGGAGGAACTGGGGGAAAGGAGTTTTCTGGCTGCTGTGTGTACCTTGCCATTGGAAAGAAGGAAAAAAGAAAACAAATCCCCTAAAATATCTCTGCCTGCAGCAAAGCACCTTTTTTTTATTTCTTCTTCTTTTTTTTCCCAGTTTCCTGCTTCCCAGAAATGAGGGTCCTGTAAGTTCCTAATTTCCAGCCACGAGCACAGCCTCAAATTCCAGCTCTGAAATCAGATCCTAAGGCAGGGCCCACAGTATTCCTTAAAATGGGCAATACATCCCCAGCCACGTTGGAGGTGCTGCTGTGAGAAGCCTTGCCAGCAGCACAAAGTCTAGCAAGGGCAGAGCACGTGGCTCCAGCTCTACTGAAGCCTTTCCTCTCTGGAGAAGCTCTGCTGGGTCGACACGCTGGTGTCGAGCTGACTCCAGCATTGTGCTCCCTGAGGGGAATTTTACACAAACTGGAGCTAAAATGTAAGTTAGGGTAAATGTACTGTGCAAAACACTGTTCTTAGCACCAGCTGGGTTCTTGCCTGCCTGAATGGAGCAGACCTGCAACACTGCAAAGGTACCCAAGTATTGTTGTGGGACTAAAAACATTTCATAACTAGCACCCAGAGAACTGGTACCCGAAGATGATCCTTAAGGTAGAATTAAAATGGTTTCTCTAAAGCAGAGCAAAGAAGTTAAAGTTTTGCCACCAACTTGGCAAACTTCTTAGGGATGTTGCTGGGGGTCTACAGAGGGCTGCCAAACTGGGGGCTTCTGTATGTGTCTTCCCCAGGGCACATAAGGGCTGAAGCTTCTTGGTACCTGGGTAGCTTCTGTCACCTTGAAACAGTCCCCTCCACCCACACAGGTGTTCTTGGCATGGGCAGACAACCCTGTCAGGAGGTCTGTAACCCCTCCATGTGGGACTAGACATGCATTTCTAAGAGGGAAGTATCTACCAAAGCTTTGAGCCCAGAGCTGATGAAGGGCTACTCTACTGCTGGCTTGATTAAATGGCCATTGAAGATGATGTAAACATCAGACTCCTCACTGTAGATGGCATTTTCTCTCTCCCGCTTGAACATCCTCACCCAGACCTCATCTCCTTCCTGCAGGTCCAGCATCAGGCTCTGGCTCTGCATGATGCTCCTGTCACTGGGCTGGGCATAGAGGATGGCCACCTCTTTCTCGTTCTTCATCAAGTGCAGGTAGGTCTCCTTGAAGTTCCAGGTGTGGACATTGAGGCTGAAGTAGTAGATTCCTGCAACGTAGCAGAAGAACTTCCCCGAGAACATATTGAAGTGCTTGTAAAGGTTCACAAACTCAGTGTCAAAGGTGACGTGCTGGAAGTAGTCTGAGCTGTGAAGGGGTTTTCTCCGACCCACCGAGAAGGCAGCGTAGAGCTGCTTGCAGGAGTGGCCTTGAGGGCCAGGCTGGCCTTTCTGCCCCTTCCGTCCATTAAAGCCACGTAGCCCTCTTTCTCCTGCCTTCCCAACTGTTCCAGGGTACCCTTTCTCTCCCATTTCACCCTTTTCACCTGCAAGCATAAAGGAAAACCTTGTCAAACAGAAGCCCAGGATCCCCGAGCTGCAGCCACCTCCTGCTGGAGACAACCAGCAAAGCAGCTGCTAAACCATTATCTCCCCAGCACAGGTGTCTGGAAGACATTGGCACCTTCCCAGCTCTCAAAAAGGTGAAAATGCCAGGTGAGAGCTTGGCTCCATGGAACTTCTGGTGCCAATGTTCATGAGCAGCAGCACCAGAAGGAGGGAATGAGCCTCTTCCCCACGTTCTGAAGCTACATGTAGTAATTCTGCACTAACACTTGTATCTGGTTTTTAGTGTGGCCTAACATGAGCTTCCAGGGATTCTCCTTTTTGATGGATACGAGCCATTTGCCAGCTCCTTCCTTGTACCAACCTACAGGCTGTGCCATGTCACCTCCTGACCTTCTTTTGGGTAAGGTCAGCAGAGGAGCTCCTTGGTGTGGGGAAGAGCTCAGCCTGCAAAACGAAGGTGAGCAAGCAAGACGAAGGACGTCCTTACAGCAGCTGGCTTTACCCACCTTTGAGGATGGTGATATCTATAGTGGGCTGGACTTTGGGGACCGAGTAGGCAGGGTCACTGCTCATCCTGGTGTACCGGGAGGAGATGATGGGGACGGGCTGCTCGTGGGCCCCGCAGCAGCGCACGCACGAGAGGCGCCGCGGCTCCCGCCTCGCCTGGCCCTGCTCTGGGCTGGCACCCAGGGGGGCAGTGCACACCAAGAGCAGGAGAAGCACCAGAGCCATCTGGAGTAAGCAAAGGAACAGAAATGATTAACAGGGTGATTCCAGTCAGATGGGCCATCTGTCAGTGTCGCCCGCACGGTGTGTTTCTGCTGGTTAAATATTAGCTGATGGGTGGTGGCACCAGGAGGCTCCAGGTGGGAAGAGTGTCCCACCAAGCACTGTTTACAAGCACCAGAAAGGGCAACCCCTGCCTCCTGTTATGGTTGAAATAGCTGGCAAGAGACATCAGGGAACCAGAAGAAAAAAAACCCAACCCCAAGCCCAACCTGTGAGATCAGAAGCTGAGGCTGAGGTGCCCGGAGCTGTCACAGCAGCTCTGCTCAAGGCACCACTGCCTGGCTGCTCTTGGCACAGCCCTGGCAAAAACTCCTGGGTAAAAGACAAAATGTCTTCTTCTGACAGTGGTTTCTTGCCACCCTGAAAAATTCAAAATTAGAAGCAGAAAATGAAAATTTATTTAAATACAGAACCTAGAGATGTTTTATTTCCCTTGGGTTTTTTTGTTTGTTCATAGAATCATAGAATCTTAGGGGCTGGAAGGGACCTTGAAAGATCATCTAGTCCAACCCCCCTGCCAGAGCAGGGTCACCTAGAGTACATCACA